GAATTTTCTGAATTTATTTCAGATTTCCAGCATCCACAGTATTTATTTTTATTTAAATGATTTCAATTGATCTGCATGTTTTACTGACTGCTTAGAGCCTATGAATTATCTGCCAAATTGTGTATAATCACAAGTGAAAATGCTGAATTTCAGCACGTGGAAAACTAACAACATAGTAAGGAGCAGGGAGCACTGACTATGGTCAACTGAGCAATCAGAATAGCTGTCCTGTACTGGTTGAAGAAAGAAAGTTCAACAATGAACAGGCAAGACATAGCAAAAGCCAAGCAGCATCCACTATTGTATTGGGCGGAACTGATTCTGGGCATCTTGACGCATAAGCCAAAGTTCTCGGCTATTTCCCAAGTAAAGTTAAAGTGCTGCTCAATCCTGGGCATTACATTCAGATGCATTGTATTTGGTAAATTTATGCCAGAGTTCCGAAGTTTGATATAAAAATTTAGTTTGAGTGCTTTTAAATGTCCTTTGAGTAAATAGACATGATATAATTCTATGTAAATACTTTTCTACTAAAATTGGTGTCTATGACTAAATCAGAGTTGTCAAAACTACACCTATGGATAGTCAATGAGTTTTCTTGCTCAGTGTTGTTTTAACAAATAACCCTTGAAAATATTTATTGTTCAATTGGGCACTTTTTAAAATTAATTCAAGAAATGTGGGCATCACTAGCTTTATTGCCCATCACTACATTACTTTTTATTGCCTGTCCCTAGTTGCCATTGAGAAGGTGGTCTCTTGAATTTCTGCAGTCCACTTCCTGCAGGGAGTCCCACAATGCCATTAAAAGAGGGAGTTCTCCTCTTTCAAGCACCTACATGTCAACCCTATTCACTTACATGAATACTACAGCCAGATTAGATTCAGTGATACAAATTGATTACTGAGGCAATGCTTACAATTGCACCAATTTTAAAAGAAAAAGAAGAGAAAGGGAAAAGTGCTGACAGCACAATATGTTCTTATCTTGCAATAGGTTTTAAGGTAGATGTGTAAGAAATCAGGATAGAAGGAAATTGCAGTAGTTACGCAAAAAGAGGATTTGGTTTCAATTATGTCAATGAATGTTTCTACAGCAGCTAAAATCATCCCATCTGTCACTTGCACTGCAATTATTGTTAGATGTGCATAATCTGTATATTGTTTCTATGAAAAATAATAATGCTTGTCACATTATTGACAATTTGCTTTAAATTATTAAAGTTGCAGGTATTTGAGTCTTAAGCTATTGTATAAAATAATGAATATTATCCACAAACAGCGAAGCGGATGGATGCATTTTATAAACAACCTATAAATGAAATTGGTTACTCAAGAAAATATACTAAAAATGTATGCAAGAACATAAAATAAGAATTATGTACCAATTTAGCATCATTTAATGTCATGCAATATATTCTCAAACTAGACAATAAGATGACACATACATTTTCCGTGCTGTCAGAATATATTTTGAATGAATTGAGGAATGGGCTAATAAAATCTGGGAAAACAAACAGCAACAGCCAACATGATGGTATAAATAATCTAAATAGGCAAAATAATTAAATAATTTAAATCTTCTCAAAGCTGCAGTAAGTGTGCCCTTGTTTATAAACAATATAATGGGAGAAAATAAAACTTTGGGACCACATTTTCTGTTGCAGTTTTCCCACAGCTCCTCTGGAATAATTAGGTGGAATTTGGTAAATATCCGCTTTCAGTGAGGGAAATTATGTCTTTTATTCCCAGCTTGAAGAAATATCTCAGCCATTGTGTCCAGTTCTGGTCTCCTTGTTATAGGAAGAATATTATTAAGCTCGAAAGGGTTCAGAAGAGATTTACCAGGATGTTGCTGGGTATGGAAGTTTTAAGAAAGGCTGGATAGGCTGGGACTTCTTTCATTGGAGCATAGGAGTTTGAGAGGTTTATAGAGGTTTATAAAATCATGAGGGACATTGATAAGGTTAAAGTTAGGTGTCTTTACCTAGGATGGGGGATTACAAGATTAGGGGGCATATTGTTAAGGTGACAGGAGAGAGATTTTAAAAAGGCACGGGGTGGTTCACGTGGAATGAACTTCCTGAGGAAGTGGTGATGTGAGCATAGTTATAAAGTTCAAAAGACACTTAGACAAAAACATGAATAGGAAATGTTTGGAGGAATATGGACCAGGAGCAGGCAGGTGGAGCTAGTTTAGTTTGGGATTATGTTTAGCATGATTTGGTTGGACCGAAAGATCTGTTTCCATGCTTTGTAAGTCCATGATTCTATAACTCTATGACACCATCCTTTCTATCAGGGAAGAGTACCGGCTGGAGGGTAAAAAACAGCAAAACTTGTTGATCAAATGACCTGTATCTGAGGTGTAAATACTGTACAATTTTGCATAATCTCTTCTTAAACTTCTCCGCTCCAGGAGAAATAGCATGCCAAGTGTTGTTTATGACAAAAATGTTTTTTCCTGAAGAATCTAGGCACTGCAATTTCTGTCCAAAATGAACTTCTGAATAAAAGTTGTGTTCCGATTCAGATGGGTAACCTAGCATTTTCTTCAGGCTCCAACGCAAAACTCAGTTCCATTGCCATAGACTCCAAGATTCTTGACAAAAACTTTCAGAAATGGAACCTTCGTATTGTAATTGATCCAATGTTGTCATGATCACTGAGCTTCTTCCTCCTGCCTGAACCCACATGCTCCTGGAAATTCTGTGACTTGGAAACTTGACTATTCCAACATGACAGTACCTTCAGTTGTCAAAGCCCTATGTCTACAATTCCCTTCTAAAACTCTGTTACTTCTCTTAACTCCTTTACATTTCACCTTTTAAAACCTACCTATTTGACAATTTTTTGCAAATCTGCCATAAAATCTCCTTATGTAGCTTTATGTTAGGTTTTGTTTGATGACATTGAGTGGTAAAGATGTTATATTAATGCAAGCAGTGATTGTTTTCCAGTTTGAAAACAAATTGCCAGAAGAAAACCATAGCTACTAAAAATGCTAATGTGATCTTGTGTCTTTGGTAATTAGTTTGAATTCTTTGTGAGAGTCTCCTGCGCCTCTTCCTTATTGAGTCAATCTTTCACCAGACCTGCAAAGTCAGCTCTCATTACAAATTGCAAAGAAATTGTAATTACAAAGGAATTATATTTGCAACTTAAGCAATTTACAACGAGTCACAACTGTCTACAATTTCCTATTTAGTTAGTGGGATTAATGAGTTATTTTAGCAATGCCACGGTATCAATTATTTTTTGACTACAATTTCAAAAACACAGTGGAAACAGTATTTTTGCATTTGGCTATGTTGTTGTCAAATAAACATAAGATGGAATGGTTCAAATGATGAAATTGATTTAAACCGTAATTTCAGTTCAAAATATAACTGACAAGTGGAGCAGGAAGTTACCTGAAAGATTGGACAATATCATTGCAGAACCTTTCTGCCACGTTGGCACCAAGTGATAACATTCAAAAATAAAGCTACAATAATATTGACAATTGAAGGACGCATTTAGCACATTAATGTCAATGGTTTGAAGCTGTAGATATTAGTAAGTTTTGTTATATTGCACAATACATTATAACATAAATGTATTATTAATTTCCAGAAAAAAGAACGTCTACAATCAAAGCAACTTTCAAGCCTATTCTAAATTTTATCAGTAGAAATTTTAATTCCGGGTTAATCACTGCACTGAGTCTCAATTGAGTTGCATTTGAAAACTAAAATGAAAGAATTGAAGCCTTTGTGATTTTTTTTGTCAATTAAACATAGGGTGTAATGACTCAAATGATGAAAGATTGATCTAAACCCTGCTTTCACTCCAACATCTAACTAATGGGTGGAGAATTTATTTTATTCCTTTCCTCTTTTAAATCACCAGTTTTCTTTCATATTCTTCAAAGCCTTCACTCATTGTTGGATACAGTTCAAATGGTGCTGTCTCATACTTGAGGGAAAGCTTTGACTAAGAAAGTGCTGGCAACTATTCCTTATAATGACATTAGGGTTTAGTCTGATCCTCTGATTATCTGAAGTCCACACACATTTATTTCCAACATGGGTCACTGCATACTGTCAAGATCAGAAATTCTGATCAATGTTTCCTTTTATAAAGCACAGTCCAGAGCTTCTGCCACTCCCTTGATAAGAATAAATATTTAATTAATTGACTGGTGATCCAACTCAGGAATCTTAGTCTGTAAGGCTCAACTATATACTTGGTAACCTGGCTGAATTGAAGTAACCTTCAATAAGACTTCTACAGCTCACTCATGGGTTTTGAGATCTTCCCTATTCATGTAATTGAGCTTAATCAATTACCTATTCATGGAACTGAGCTTGATCAATTTATAATTATATTTAGAAACATTCAAAAGAACAAAAGGGTTGTCTAGAAAACTTTAAATCACTTTGGAAGGATACTGAGAAAAAGAAAATATTTATATATTATACACGTTGCTGTTAATGTGAAAATGATGAACAAATCACCATTATAGTTCATGTGGAAACAGTTAAATATTGTCACTTTCTGTGTTTGTAAAAAATGGAAATGGATTTGAGATTTTTTTCTCTGAGAACACTGTGCCTTTAATTTATTTGTTGATGTGATATTCACCAAGCCTAATTAATATGTAAAGAAGAGTTAATAACAGGAAGCAAAGGACACAAAAAAATTGTTAGAGGCAGCTAAAAGCTTTCAACAGCTTGTATGAGTCAGCAGCTTTTATTCACAGTGACTGCAAAAGAGAAACTTCACACCATGATGCATGAAGAAACTACCAGAATTATAACACATTCATACCTTGTATTTACTGTCATTGGTACAGTGAATGGTAAGCCTGGTTTAAAGTTCCTGAAATGTACATGAGCTACAAAGTACATTGTTTTCACTGTATTAACAACTGGTTATAAAAATTCCAGAAGGATTTAGAAATGGAGTGTGCATCCATAAAACCTCATGTTTCCTTTTGATTCTCTGATAGGAAGCTTGTTCATAAGAACAGGATGAGCACCTTAATTTGGAGAAATATGCACCGTAACTCCCACAGTGATGGCAGTGATATATCTACTGATGAAGAGCCTCTCTTTCAGCAAAGCTCCAATGAAGAAAGCAGAATAAATGTAAGTATATATTATAGTAGGAGTTGGAAACCAGTTTTTGTAATGCATTTGTCAAGCATGAAAAAATGTAATAGTTTATGAAGTAGAAAAAATGGAAGTTGCATACCAGGAGAGTGACAACATTAAAATCATTGTGCATGACATTGTGATGGATGTTGATAAAGTACAGCTAGAAATCCAAGCCAGTTATGCATGAATGTAAGTCCGCATGGATGCATTTTTACATTGTCCCACATCGCCAGTAAACTTTCCAGAATAAAATCTCTGATTTTTGTTCCCCCTATAAGTTAGAGAAGCTGCTTAAAGACTGAACATCATAAAACACGGCTCATGTGGATTTCAGCAGGTCACAGATTTAATTTACTCTGATCCCTTTGCAAAATTCTGACATTTGTAATCATCAGCTTTTGTATTTCACTGGTAGGATCTCCTAATGTTTTGTTGTGGATTTATATGTTAAAATCTGATGCAGATTATAATTGAAATGTGTCAATTTAATTCTATGATTGTTCCTGAATGGCTTCTGTACATGTCTGCTTATACTGGTCATAATTTAGGCTGTCAATGAAGGCAGAACAAGTGAAGTTCTTTGGAGGAGCTGATTTTCACTAACTGGTTCCTAATAGCACAATCACCACCAAAATGGGGCACATTTCTGATATATGCAGAATATTTCACAAATGTTGAAGCATGTATGTAGTGTGTATAACTGTATTTTGTGTTAAAAGCTGCATTCTGTTTATGCAATCATTGCTCTAGAACAGTGAAATCAATTAAACATGCAAAATAGAGAAGAAAAGCATTTCATTCACCCTTTAGGGTTTTGCATGGAGTGTAAACTTCATTTTGCACATACTGAGGAATTTATTTTTATTCCTGAAAATGGGATCAATTATTTACACGCCCTCTTCTGCAGAATGATTGTAAGAATACTTTTCATGATTATGCAGCTGTAGCTCATTGCTTGTCTTTGAATGGAGATAAGCAGATAAAAAGTGTAGCTCAGAGTCCTTACATTGTGGATCTGAAATATTTTTCTCTCGAGTTGTCAAAGATTGTTTTATTCAGGTGGAAAGCAAAATAACATCGACAAAAATGCTTTTGGAAAGCCTTTGGTTTTTTTTAAATAAATTTATGGGATCTGAATTTATTGCCTTTCCCTAGTTGCCATTAAGAAGATAGTGGTGAACTCCCTTCTTAAATCATTGCAGTGCATTTGATTTGGGAAGACTCAAAATTTGTAAGGGAGTTTCAGGGTGTTGAACCAATGACTCTGAAGGAATGGCAATATAATTCCCAGTCAAGATCGTGAATCCCTTGGAGGGGAACTTGCAAATTGTGGTGTTCCCACATATCTGCTGCCCTTGTCCTTCTAGATGGTATTAGTCCTGGTGTGGCTGTATGTTTCTAAATACAACAACACCAGCTGATCCAAAGAATACTCAGTTTAACTCAGTAACTGTCATACCCTTCATACAATAAGCCTTACCATTGCCAGCAATTCTCACTGATAATAAACTGCCAGTATCATTACTTAATGAATTCAGAGCAAATCACAGTCATTGTCCCAAAACAAAATGCTGTCCAGATTTCTCCACAGAGACAAACCAAGGCATATAACATAGTTGCAAAAATAAAGTTGCTGGAAAAGCTCAGCAGGTCTGGCAGCATCTGTGGAGGAGAAAACAGAGTTAATGTTTCGGGTCC